AGTTACATCAGTGTAAAACCAGAGTAGCACAGTAGCGAATCAAGCCTAATAGGTAGACCTACAGCAACTCAAGCTTTTACTGCCACAGCCCTCAACCCAGGACCCCACAAAGTATTCCTTTACCTTTTGTATTTGTCATGCTTTTTTAATACTTAAGCAGACAATTTTGTACTGTCAACAATCCCATTTATCTTTATAAAATGATGTAAGCAACAAAACAAAAACGTAACCAGGGAATTTTAAGGGTGCACAAGAATATTTCATATGTCAGTGGGAGATGTTGAGTATTTGTTTTACTGTATACATAGGCTTGGCAGAATTGATCTTTTTTAAAAAAAAAATTTCAACAGATACTGATGTTCATTTTTAAGCATCTGTATAGACTTTTATTGATTTAAATTTTCACAGTCACAGGTAATTATGGGAGGAGGATCAGACAATTATTTAATGACAGAAATGCTGAGATTAAAAAGTTAAAGTTTTATAACTTTTAAAACACATATTGTCAACATCATGTCAAAACACACACAGTAAATATCCTTAAATCAAACTCTAGTAAGCTCTCAAGCAGCATTTTTCTTACTTTGCCTATCTGTAAATTTTGATGATCATTGATGGAAGTATTTTTTGTCAGTTTGTGCACATATGGAGAAATCAGTATTTATAAACTGTGGCAAGGCACCCCTTCTGTCTCGCCAGACTTAGCGCTCCCTCCTCTGGCAGGGACAGGGCCTGGGGTAAATCAGCCCCCCACTCTGGAGCGTGTGTGTCTTCCGTCTTTGGGGTTTGTTTCTCGGAGCCTTCTTGGTCGGCCTCAGGGCAGACCTGAGGAGTGCTCCTCTGCCAAACAAAGGGAAAAAGTCTATAACGCCCCAAAACAAAAGGGGAATACCTTTCCCTGGCCCCCTCACTGGGGCAGGTGTTGTCCTGTCGCTGGCTCCGGGTGTCAGTCCTTCCCCTAAACAGGCACTGAGTTTTGGGTGTCTCCCCTATGGGGAGGAGCGCAGTCTCTCACACTGGAGAAACCTTTCTCCCTGCTGCCTCCAGCCTTGCAGCAGTTTCTCTCTCTCTCACCAGGAGCAAGATTTTAACAGGTTTCAGGCAGCCCTTAATTGGACTCAGGTGTCCCTAACTGACCTGAAGTAACCCCTTCCCAGCTTTTAGGGAAAAGGGCCTTAAGCAGTCTAGGGCTAACATACCTGTTTTCCCAGACTCTCCTGCAGCCGTTGGGCCTGACTTTGTCACATAACATTTACTGATAAAAATCTATTCCTTCCAAGCCTATGTACATATATTGCAATACCTAAGCAGAACAGGATAAGTTAAGGACAGCTTCAGTCAATACTGGCAATACTGTGTGTCATAACAAGTAATCAGGATGAACGTATTAACTAGCATTCTGCAGTTTTTTGTTTTTTAAAGAGCAACAAACTTCTAGTCTGGTTGTTCCAAACCATTCACCTAGCTTGGACATTTGCCTAAAAGAATTATTATACTTGGTCAAAGCATTTACTTTGAGAACATCCTATTAAAAACTCAAAGCATTTACTTTGAGTTTTTAATAGGATGTTGGGGTGGAGGGAGCATGGGATCTCCAAGAAATACTCTAAGAATTTAAGCCCTACTTATATATTTTCATCCAGTTTCCACATCTTCCACAGTTTTCCAAGGCAGACTATCAGAATTATTCTGGTTAGCGAGGACAAAACCCTGAATCACAAATTCTTCAATGGACCCCTACATTTTCCCTATGAGTAGCATGATTTTCAAGGGTGATGAACACGCAGCAGCTGGCACTAAAGTCAATGAGAGCTGCTGAAAGCTCAGCATTTCTAGGGGAAAAAAATAATCAGGGGCCAGATTCTCTCTTTGTTATACTGAAATATATCTGGAATAATGCCAGTGAACTCATTGGAGTTATGCAACTCACAGCAGTGTTCCAAGCCATTTATTTTAGATGCCCAAGTATGGACTTAGGAGCCTAAATTTAGCCATCCATTTTAAGTGCTGTATGAGGCAGAACATTGGCTTGTTCCAGTGTGGTTGTTGCTATGCAGTGCTCTGTTTCAGCCATTTGTCACAGTAACTGCAGTATCTACTAGTTTATCCACCCAAGACTAAAAGCTTCTTCCTGAAGGAGGGGAAAAGCATACTAAAGAGATTCTCCAAGAGTTGCAGGTACCTGGTGTTCCATTCTCCCCTGGGGGGGAACGGGTGTTTGGAGCATTGCAGAGGGGCAAAGAAAAGATTTTCAAACCCCAGAGACTAAGGAGTCTTGCGGAAATCTGACACCAACCTTACACATCCTGGAGGTGGGCCTGCTCCTCTGTGCTGTTCTCTAGGCTCCCCTCTCCACCATTAGAATGGCAGTGGTGTTATTGGGTCCCTTCGCTGCAACTTAAGCCCTAGGTTCCAATCCCACATCCAGTGCACATTTTGGAAAGGGGACAATAGTGATGCCTTCCATGTGAATTTCTGCCCAGAGAGGAACACAATGTGTAAAGTGGCAGATCCTCACCTTCATCTCTTCCCTGGAACTTGCAATACTCAAGACACAGTAGGGTCTTGCAGCGGAGCTTCTGCAGGCTCCTGGGAAGCTGACCATGCTTCTAAACTGGTGCTCCTACTTCTGTTGGTTTCAGGGCTTATTCCAACCCTTGCTCTTCTGTGCATACTTTGCCATGGAGAGGGGTGGCTGGCACCAAGTAGTAGACCTGAAATTTCTTTTAGGCTTTTGATTCTTAGGCTAGTCATTTATGTCACAATAATTTGGAAATACAGGCGCTTTCTCTACTCCCTGGATATTACATTAAAGCATTTTTAATATAAAATTGTAGACAATGAGATGCAAAGGCCTATAGACAGTTTTGGAACCAGTCAAACTCTGCAGTCCTTATTTACTGCCACTGTTAACAATGGCACCTTTTCCTGAGTAAAGGATATCAGGATTTGGCCCACCAGTAGTTTTACCGAGCTAGGGCTATGGCAAGCCCAGTGGGAGCTGGCGCTATGCTCAGAACCAAAACAGAAGTTTAGGATAATAGGTGGAGAGCTGGGGGAGATGGTGGAGGGTGAGAGCACTTTCCAGCTCATTACAGGCTGTAAACATAAACTTGTTTTCCCCAAATATCCTTTATTGCTCAACAAATTAAACTTACATAAATGGGTAAAAAAAAATTTTCCTTATCCTCATTTCAAAATAAAATTTGTATATATTTTGCAACACATTTTTTTTATGATTACAGGTATTATTAGGCTTGGCAGAGTTTGATTTTAAAAAATAATAATTCTGACAGATATCAACATTTATTTTTCAGCATTTTCCTCTTTTTATCTATTTAATTTTTCACAATTGTGGGAAACTATGGCGGTGGGATTTGGGCAATAATTATTTAATGAGAGTACATGTTGAGATTCAAAAAGCTGAAGCTATATAACTGTTAGAACACAACATCACACATCAAAATAAACGAAGTAAATATCCTTAAATCAAACTCTTGTAAGTTTTCAAGCAGTATTTTCTTACCTTGCCTATCTGTAAATTTTGATTCTTATTGCTGGAAATATTTTTTCAGTTTACAGTGAAATTGACATTGACCAATAAAAATCTAATCCTTCCAATCCTAAGTATTACTATTGGCTGCTGTGGTATTTCACTCAGCTGTTGCACTGTTTTTTATATTATATATCTAAGCCCCTTTTCAAACACCTCCTAATGGCCCAACTGTAGAAGTTGTTACCAGCTTGCAAACGGCTTCTTCTGATGGTAAATCACCCATTTTGAAAACACCCACTCTACAGTATGGAAAGAAACAGGTGCAATTCAAGGTTCACTGAGCAATAGCAACTGAAAACCTCCTAGTAGGCATCTCCCCGGGGAATTTTTAATTAACCACATAATATTTAATTTCCTGCAATCTAGACAGCGCATTTTAAAAATTTCAGCACCATAAAATATATTGCGTGACAGCATGTACCTCTGTAGGGGCATCTGGAGGCACTAGACAGAAGGCGATTGGAAACTAGTATAGTTATTAATGTAATCAGTACCAACAGGGAAAAGAAAGTATTTTACCTGCAAAACTGCAATGGGAAGGGACAGAAACAGAGCCCATTCCTGCAAACACTTGATACAGGCCTTGTTACACTGGTGGCAGCATGTAGAGTTCACGTAGCTACATACAGCAGTGAAAAGCAGGCTGTGTCCACACTGCAGTGTATAGCTACACACAGCAGTGAAAGGCTCTGGCAGAAAGAAGGCAGCAGGGAAAGGCTCCGGCACTTCTCTGAAGCAAGGAAAGGCTCTGCTGCTGGAGGGAAAGGTTCCAGCAGCAAGATCCTACACGTCTAAAAATAGCAATTCATATGTGAGATGCACAGCTTGGGCACATAGAGAGCTGAGTAGGGTATATACAGCTGTAGAGAGCAGTTTAGGGTTCTGACCTGATGTATCTTTACTTGCCAAAGCAGTGCCTCACTGTCTACATGGCTATTTACACCTGTGCTAGGGGATGTGCAGTGTATGTCAGCTGCTGTAAGTGTAGACATAGCCAATGAGTAGGCGTTTACTACTCTTAGTCCCACTGACTTCAGTGAAACTACTCACAACACTAACACTATGCTCCCCAGATCTTGCAAAGGCTTACACAGGTGCTTAACTATATGCACAGCAAGTAGTCCTGTGGGATTGCTCACAGTGCATAAAGTTAAAACACCAGCATAAGTCTTTGCAGGATTTGGGCCCTATGCACATTGACTGGCATTAGCAGGATTGGGCTCTCATTTTGTAACTACATTTTGTAACTACATTCCACTTGCAGTGGAAATTCATAGCATAGAACACTGAATAAATTTGGTGTACATGCTCTGTGTCTGTTTACAGATATAAATATCTTGGATATTTTTTTACTCAAGGTTTCCTTCAAAAAACTTTCATTTTCTCACTACCTCCACCATGCTCAAACGCCACCATGGACAAAGAAAGGGAGATTCTGTTGTACCTGAATTTCATTGCCAGTTATCATTTTCCAAGACCCATAGTGGCCTTTCTCCTGACGGAAGAACTGGACGGCTTCTAAAAATGCCTGCACTTCAAATGTGGTCTGCTTGAGGAAATCTAAAGAAAAAAGAAATAACAAAATTAATTGACTGGTAAAAGAGTGCTGAGTGTTTTTAAAGATTCTTTCTGATTCTATTTTATATGTTTCTACTCAAGCTCTAATTTCTGAATGCTCTGGCACAATCTTCTTTCAAGCCTTGTCTAGACTAGAATTTAGAGGTGTGATGTTAGCTCTTACACACTAACACACTTAAAAAGTCTAGTGTACACAAGACACAGTGCTATTCATGCGTGTTAAGACTAACAACCATCTTAACGTTTTGAGAGCAGTGTGCCTTGTCTACACTAGACTTTTTAAGTGTGTTAGTATGCAAGAGCTAATATGTGCTAACATTACACTCTTCATTATGTTAGGTAACACATGCTAACTTTAACATACCTTTTATCCTAGGCAGAGTAGTTAGGAGTTTGTCAAGATAATTTTTCCTATACGTATTGTAACAATGAAATGGGCAAATTAGATAATTAAGGACCTCCTTTTTTCATGCATTACCTGCAAAGACTATTTTTATACAACTAGTCTATTATTCAAGGTTATTTGCTGAACACTTTATACAGACATATCCTGTCAGGTAACTATCCATTGCCACTATTGCTTACACCTGCAGTTCATGGCCACCCTGGCCTCCATGTATTGCTACATGAGAAGGAGTCCTGGGGAGGTTCTAGTGTGCAAAAGGGGGCTGCGGTATGGACAAGGTTGAGAGTTTGGAGTATTTGCTCTTTGTAAAGTGTAAATGACCAGTCACAGAGTGCAAGTTACATCACATGCTATTGTCTCTGCTCTCTGTCCAACCCCACAAAGCACTTTCAAGATAGCTGCAATGAACTGTTCTGTCATGAATATATCAGCTACTTTGGTCCATTGGCTGTTCCCTTCACATGGGAGATGCAAATGGAGTAGCAGCCATATAGTGGGTGTATTTTCTCCAAGACCCATGGGAAATATTCCCTCTTCTCTAGCCCTGGAGAAATTCCATAGCACAATCCAACTGCTTGAGCTCTGTGCTTGGATAGGGGTCTGGGCCTAAGACAGCACTTTTCCAAGATTCTTTGAGAACCAAAAGAGCTGTGGCCTTCCCAATGGATAAGTACCACTTCTGTGAGGATTACCATCTTGAGGAGATTATGAAGTTGCATTACTTAGTTCCCCCTTTTCAAGACAGGATACTTTCAGCATAAATAGTTCTAATCCTAATGTGTACACAGGGGGATGAGAGACGTGAATAAGAGGAAGGGGAAGAATGTTTATTCCACTGGAATTAGTTTTGCTAGGTTTTTTTTAAGACATTAATATTTATAAATAAGCTTTATGAGGAAGGCTGGGAAATGAATACATGAGTCTTGTCTGTAAAATCTCTTATATGAATGTATGCTACTTTTCATCTGTGTAGGAAAATTCTATGGATTAGTGGGGGCTCTGCACATGCACCAAGGGCAGACCTCATAGCTCATACAAATAAGCTGGAAAAAAAGAAACAACCTAAGAATTTTTTTAAAATGAAACCAGAGTTAAGCTATGACACTTAAAAGGTCCCCAAAATCAATAGATTCACAGCAAAGGTCCTTATAGACCCTGAAGCGTCTCTCTGGGTTGAAGCCATTCCATGAGAGCAAGCTCTTTTCCCCTGTTGCTGCATCTTAAGCATAGGAATAAGCTAACCAGTTTGGAGAAGACTGCCCAGAACTGGAATGGAACTATTTTTGAGTGTTGAAAACATTTGGTTAACATTTCCCATTGCTTTTTCTCACTTTCACATTGCCTCTTCACTCCTCATTTTCATCCAAGGTTGGAGAATGAAAGTGCTGATCAGCTATGAGAACGAGACTGTTCTTGCACTATTTCCAGCCCCGTTTTGCACACTGTTGTGAGGGGGCATGGCCTCCTTCCGAGACTGACAGGGAGGGACGGCCACGGACCACTACACAGACAATGAAGTTCAGACAGACAGCTAAGTTTTTGGATGCCAATCTAAACTAAACATGAACTCAAACATCTGGGGTTGGCAATCCCCTTGTAGTAATACACAGTCATGTCTGTACAGTGCCTAGCACAACAGGGCCATGAACCTTGGCATTACTGCATTATAAACAATAATAATACTTTGAGATCTTGTATCAAAGTCACTATGGAAGAGCAAACTTCCAACTGTTAAGTTTACACTCAGCAAAGCTGAGGAGAGGGTATGGGGAAAGTGTTTAAGCTACCTTTCCACATCTGTGAACCTGAGCCATATACAGCCTGAAACCCTGGCATAATGAAGAACAGCCCTAAGCTGCTCTAAATTACATCACCAGCAGCAAATCTGGTGGGGCACGCTGCACTGTGCCCACATCTGAGATGCCAGCTCTCTGTCCCCTACACCAAGATGGGGAGCAGAGAGTACAGAACCAGCTGTGCCAACACTGTACAACCTAATGGCTTTACTCATTCAAACCGTTCACTGAAAGTAACAGGAGTTGCATATGAGTAAGTTCTACATGCTTTAGCTCTAATTAGTAAAGCCTCACAATACCACTGAGAGATAGTAGGGAAGTATTATCCCTATTTTCCAATTAGTCTGGGCCTAGAAAGGTCAAGCAACTTGGCCACAGTCATACAGTGGGTCAGTATCAGAAATGGTAATAGACTCCAGGGTTCCCCAGACTTCCCCAGACCTGTGCTTCCCTCTATATAATTCACTAATCATGACTGCAACTAACTACATGAACTTTAACAAAGTCCCAGTCAGGATTCCAAACATTTCTCTGTTTCCACAATCTTGGCTTAAAACACTTTTTGTCACAGCTTACCCACCAAGACATTAAAACTGTAGGGTAACAATACATCTCATACAATTAATTCTATTTTGTTGGCTGAAAAATTAAGCACGTGTCAGACCCACAAGCTTTTTTTAGTATAAAATTAATCATTTTGACCACAAGGGGGCCAGACTGTGTTGCTGCTTGTACTTTGAAGGGATTTGGCTAGAGGAAGTCAGAACTGTAATTGTTGCAACCCTGGGATTCTGACTCACATGTTTTCATTTTTAACAGCTGTACTCATTTCCAACCAAAAGGGAAAAAGGGATGGGCCAAAGTGATGGTACTTGGATGGTGCGGATGTGACAACAAGCTAGCGGTGATGGGACTCTGCTCTCTAGAATTTATAGTTGTCATTTTCTAACTTAACAAGAAAATTTATAGCCTCTGTCCAGAGGTCTCTCTGACCCCAGAGAAAAAGAGGAAGGTGGGATGGTTGGGGGGAAAACATACCAATTCAATCAGGAAACATATATAAAGCAACAACCACAATACTATCGCAATCATGCTGTCCTTTGTGTACCAGGCAGTAGAGGAGTAGAATGCAATTGCACCAGCCCTATGAAAAGCTGCATAGAGTACAGGGAAAGGCAGTGCTATTATGCACCTTTGGGGCTTGATTCTCCAGGGCCTTGCACTTCATGCAGTCATTTACACCTGTGCAGATTGTGTGCAACCTCTACCATTCTGATTCAGTGCAGTTTTACATTCACTTTGCACAGGTGTGAGTGACTGCTCAAAGTGAAAGGCACTGGGGAACCAGGACTTGTGTGGGCTGTACTGTGCAAAATCCAGAGTGAAGCACACAGGCCCCAGATGCTGTCAGAAAAGGGGACATTGTCTGAGAAGCTGGAGGCGTGGTCAAGCTCAGAAGGAGCTGCACTATGACTCCCACGATTTCAGCAAGGGGCCCATGCTCATGCACTTGTCTGTGGGCAAGTGTGCTTAGGCTAGATTGCTGAAAACATCATCACAGAATCATAGAATCGAAGGCCTGGAAGGGACCAAGAGAAGTCATCTACTCCAGTCCCCTGCATCCATGGTAGGACTAAATATTATCTAGACCATCCCTGACAGGTGTTTATCTAACCTGCTCTTAAAAATCCCCAATGATGAAGATTTCACAACTTCCCTGGGCAATTTATTCCAGTATATTATGCTTAACCACTCTGATAGTTAGGAAGTTTTTCCTAATGTCCATCCTAAACCATATTTGCTGCAAATTAAGCCCATTGCTTCTTGTCCCATCCTCAGAGGTTAAGGAGAATGATTTTTCTCCCTCCTCCTTGTAACAACCTTTTATGTCAGGGGCGGGCAAAGTTTTTGGCCTGAGGGCCACATCGGGTTTCTGAAATTGTATGAGGGGCTGGTTAGGGGGGGCTGGTTAGGGGAGGCTGTGCCCCATCCATCCCTCCCTCCCTGTCCCCTGACTAACCCCCGCCGCCCCATCCAACCCCTCCTCTCATTCCTGACTTTCCCCGCCCCAGGACCCCTTCCCCCATTTAACCCCCCCTTTCCCTGCCCTCCGACCACCCCGACCACTATCCACACCCCCGCCCCCTGACTACCACCCCGAACTCCCCTGCCCTCTATCCAACTCCCTCTGCTCTCCGCCCCCTTACCGTGCTGCCTGGAGCACCAGAGGCTGGCAGCACCACAGCTGCACCACCCAGGGCGCCAGGACAGGCATCCGTGCTGCCTGGCTGGAGCCAGCCATGTCACTGCACAGCACAGAGCACTGGGTCAGGCCACAGCTCTGCAGCTGCACTGCCCAGCAACACCTTGCAGCCCCGCCACCCAGAGCATTGTGCTGGCGGCGCAGTGAGCTGAGGCTGCAGGGGAGTGGGAACAGCAGGGAGGGGCCGGAGGCTAGCCTCCCAATCCAGGAGCTCAGGGGCTGGGCAGGAGGGTCCCACGGGCCGGATGTGGCCCACGGGCCGTAGTTTGCTCACCTCTGTTTTATGTACTTGAAAACTGTTACCATGTCCCCCCTCAGTCATCTCTTCTCCAGACTAAACAAATCCAATTTTTGCAATATTCCCTCATAGGTCATGTTTTCTAGACCTTTAATCATTTTTGTTGCTCTTCTCTGGACTATCTCTAATTTGTCCACATCTTTCCTGAAATGTGGCACCCAGAACTGGACATAATACTCCAGTTGAGGCTTCATCTGCCCGGAGTAGAGCGAAAGAATT